GCTGCATTACTAATAAGATGAACAGTACAATCCCTTAAAACTCTATAATATTGCCAAATGTTTTGTTTAACATGCATTTTTTTTTATTTCTGTTAAGCAGACTCAAACTTGACTTCCGGTTATGGTATGAAAATCGTTCAACCGTTAAATTACCCATATTTACCAGTTTGAAGATATCCATAATTTTAAGGTACAATCTTTTTTACTTTACATAATTATTTCACCCTAAAGTAGGGTGTTACGTTTCTTTTGCGTGTCAGTATATAAGTATAAATAACGCAAAATAAAAATATCATTAAAAATATGTTATTGAATCAAAGACATTTGGATTTTTTTTAGGATACCGAAAGAACTTAAAATCCATCGCTCTCAGATGTATATCTTTACATTATAATTTATTTTAAATTTTGTCTTCTAAGCAACATGCACATATTGCCATCACATAAATTATTTTTATGCCGAAATAAGCTAATATTCATGAAATCTTTTTCTACATATTCAATTTGTCATGCTGGCAAGTGCACTAGGAAGTGAAATGAAGTCAAATACAGTTTTACATTATAAATCATGCAACAACTTGAGTTAAAAATATCTTCTAGGAAACTTTGTTGATATGAGGATGATCAAAATGCAAACGTGCTTAAAAGTTCCGGAAACTACGAATACATGTACGTATGCTTTTGACACTATCAAGTCAAACACCGGAAGTATTTTCATAGACATTGTTTCATATTTAAAAGGTTTAAAGTCTATTAGAGCTATGTACATGTAGTTTGAATTGTTAAATGTCCATGATCTAAGAAGATTTATGTAGAATCAATGTTTAAACAATTGAGCCATATACTAAGGATCTGAACTATAGATCCATTGGATGTACTGAAATTTGCAATTAAACGCATTGTATTATGCTAGTATATTTAGTACAATGATGTAGGTTTGAAGCAGACAGGATTTTATGTGTCATTATACAACAACCAAGTTTCGTCCTGAGAATCAGATAAAAATACTTATTAAAGAGTTAATGAATTTCACGGTTAAGATAAAATGTATATTGTTTATAATATTGTTACAACTGGTTATAATAAGCCCTTAGGTAAAGAAAATAAGTTTTCCAGATTTTTTTATTCGCAGCACAGTTAAGGCTACAAAAAGGAGGCGGAGCCTAACTTGTACGGGAAAACTTGACTATGACATCATACACAATATACGTCATACAGCATTTCTTTAAAATAGCACAAAATGAGTTTATATGCTAATTTAACCAGAAAAAAATCAATAAACAACAAAAAAACTTACTAAATTAAATCCCACATTACAAGTCATTAACAAGTCACTGATCGCAAAACACTTGTCAATATGACGTCATTTCTTACAACGTGACGTAGTGTGGATGCAGGGAGAGACTGAGTAATAATAAGTAATATTTTCCCAACAAAATATGTATTCTCTAATTAAATAAAATATTATTTACAGATATCCTATGGGCCAATGACTTGAATTTAATGTCTTCTTCACTATTTTATTAATATATTTTCTGTGTATTAAGTATTTAATTGACACTGCGGTATATTTGTATGCAAGAACACCGGAGGGTAATGTGGGGGTCCTAATAAATCAATCTAGTGCAAGGGCATACGCTCTATGGATCAAAGAAAGCTTTTATATTTTAATTATAGAACTATTAAGGTAGCTGAAAAGTGCTGCGATCCTGATGAAATCAACAACATTTTAATTATATCAATATTTCATGCCGCTGACGAGCAAAAAATATAGCATTCTGTCATTCAAGTATAATTTTAACAATGAATTTGCAGATTTTAAACAGGATCGCAGCACTTTTTAGAAACTACAATGAGTATTGAAAAAAAATTATATTCTAAATTTCGAAATTTAACTTGGTTATGCCCTTGCACTAGTGATATTTATATGTAACATCAATACTTCAAGTCAAAGTGCTAAAATTGCATGAATGCCGCATCACGCGACTAGACTTAATATAAAATATAATCGTCCTTGATATGTAGTTATTAATCATAATTACAATTATATAGATAATGTACTAAAAATAATCGCCATACCAATTACGAATACATTTTTAAATACAAAATTTAGTCGATATTTCCATTGCGCACCTTAACTGTACTGCGTTGTGATTGTAACTTCATCATATAGAAACCGATAAATTAAACCCCCTTCCCTCTCCTGACAATTGCACATAAGTTATCGTAAGTAATGTAATAGGAATATCGACTATGTCTATTTAAATCAGTATTGATTGATGAATATTAAGTTACCTAGTTTTACATCACATTGGTTGTACTGACAATGTCGGGTGCTGTACTTTAAATGAAAAAAAGTCAGATATGTAAAAAGGGTGAGCATATTTTTTTCTTTGAAAACTAAAAAGCACACACTAACTTATTAAAGATTTATCGGAAAAGAATATCCTTTAAAGAAAAGGTCAAATATTTTTTTTTTTCAATAAAATCCACATGTTTAAATGGTTATCATCTAAAATATTTTATAGATAATGAAGTAAAGCAATTTCTGTCGAGAGTAAATCAATTAAGCTTCAGTCTTTTTTTAATCCCTCTCTTGAAAAACTAAGTATAGTGAGCGGGATGACAGTCCCTCTAGCTGCACATCAGTCCGTCTCTCCGTCTTTCTGTGTGTCTGTCCTTCTGTTACGCTTTAAGGTATCCATGTCTTACAAGCAACTCCTCTTATAAACCGAGTTGAATTTAATCTTGGGAACAAAATGGCATTGTGCACCTCTTATCTAACTTTTTGATCGGACACATGTTTTGGGTTTCCCATACGAAGACAAGGACACTGTCATTCTTAAATATTAAAGGGCAGCCATCTTTTATCCATACCTTCTTCTTTACCACTGAACTAAATTTAATAATACTTTCACACATTCTTCCGTACACAATGCAATTGTGCACCTCTTATTTTACTCTTTGATTTGACGTTTATTTCGGGTCTCTCCGAAAAACACAACTTGAACTTTGATATTATAATCATACGGGAGGGGGGGGGTCACTTTTGAGGTGAAAAATTTATTTCTCTTTTCATTTTTATTTTCGGTATTCCTCTCTAACTTTAAAATCATCTGTAAAAAATATGAAACCAAAATCCCATTTGATTTTGTCCAATAATTCATGAGTTATTAAAGCTCATATGACGATATCCCACAAAAGTGAAAATCAAAAACTCATTATCTTCAATGTCTCTCCAACGCATCTTCAGAGCCTTACTTTTCCTTTCCATGGAATACATCAGAGTGTTTTTCTTTCAAAACCAGCTGGCTATATTGGGTATGGGAAACCGCGCCAAAGAAATACTCAACCGACGCGCGCATGCGCCAGTGAAAGAAAAACAACAGTAAGCTGATTGGCTCAAAAAACCAAATGCAGAATTGTTTTCTTTCATTTTTCGTGTGAATGTAATGATGATCATATTCTACTGTATAAATGGCTGTTTTTATGGTGGTAAGGTGGCAATTTATGAGATGGCAGGACGAATAAACTGTCCGTGACATGACTCTGTTTCGCGTTTACGTCACGGTTGATTGAAAACCATTCCATACCTTCTTTGACAAAGGCTACAAACCATTTGTGTACCTCAGGTGCATCATTTGGTGCAACAAGATTTGCTGACAAATTCTCCCTCAGCAAATTGCACGTGTTATGGACTTCTTAGCGTTTCCCTACGTGACGTCATACAGTTCACGGTTGATTAATTCTGAACACTGATTTTGGTGCTTAGTAACTATATTTCACATCTGACCAATTTTCGTAATTTTCAGTCATGCTTCAAAAAGTTTTCGAAAATTATGCTACCCTGAGTTTCTTTTTCCTTCCTGTATAAAATAAAGAAGACGATTTCAAAATTGAATCTTAAAACAATTGGTGGTTAATTATCGGAGATAGGGTGCTGCTTTATTTGCGACATCATAAAAAAACTGTCAACATTACGGTATGCCATAGCCTTCTTTTACGTTGCAGAGCTGTGTATTGTGTCCTCCTGCTTTTGGCTCATTTTTATCAGACAAAAGTAGAAATTGTTATTGCATAACACAGTCATTGTTATGTCGCCCGCACATTTTTTGCATTATTATTTAAATGTCACAATTCTCCAAGGCGTATTGGGTCTTATCAGGCATCTACATTTCAGGTTGTATTTTATATCAAACAAAGGGGTATACATTAATCGTGATGTCCGTCCATCTGTAAAGATTTAGGGTACCAGTCTCTTATCAGCAAATCCTCTGTTATTCCTAAATTAAATTTAGTAAGACTTTTACAGAAACTTTGTTATATAGTGCCATTTTACACTTCCTATTTTACTCTTTAAACGGGCATATATTTTCGGTTTTCCAGAGCGAAACATTGACACTGAGATTTTTGTATAAAATTGAAGGGTATCCATCTCTTACCTGCAACTCCTTTTGTACCACTGAGTTCTTTTGTTGAATGCTTATTGAGAAATACGAAATCATGTGTTTTCACGTGATTATCATGGAAGATAACTATTTTATTAATTGATTTCTATAAAATATCAGCTTTTCTATTATAAGCTTGTGGGCAACTTATTTATAACACGTTTATCAATATTACAATACTAAAGCAATCAATGCAATTGGTTGTACATTTTAAATCTAGTCTTTCGTAAGTAAATAAGATCCTTAGAAAGATTTACATGTAATTTCAACTATAGAAAAACAGCAGAAATTCAGTATGCATTTTTTAAAGTATGTTTTTTTTTTTTATCAACGAATAAAAGGAATCAAGAAATATAAATATTTGTTTGGAAGCACACGTGTACTAAATAATGAAGTTTTCCTATTTACAAGTGCTATGTTTTACTGGAAAATTATTTTAGTAGTACAGGGAATTTTGCGGAAGAACGAATTTTCAAAAAGAACAATAAATAACAAAAAATAAACCAAGGAAATTTAAATAAACTAGTTTGGGAATGGTGTATTTGTGCAGGGGTACAATGATTTTAAAATCGAGAAATTCTCATAGATATAAAAGCCCCCTGGGCATTTTGTTAACCGTTAAAGATATAACCGCTTTTCTGTTACTTATTGTACAGTCCGGTATTTTGACCAATGGACCTTGTTCGGAGTAAGTGAAATATTTTCACAGTTAAACTGAAATTGCTTTTTTTAATGTTATTAATGATTTGGCGATTACTGTATAAGTGGAATTTTCATCGAATTGCAAATTTAGCGATTTATACTGAATTTAAATTTAAAAAAAAGTATTTTAGCTATATTAAGAATCATGGAAATGTAATAGCATCTTCTAATGCGGAGTAAATACTTAATTTGAGCGATCCAACACACGTGCTAAAACTAGATGCCAAAAATGAATCTTCATTAAAATTTCTGATTTTAAGGGGTATAATTCATATGAATATAGGGATAGCTTCTACAACGGTTGTTGTCCTGGCACATCTTGGAATTCCACACTTCAACAGTGTCTTGGTAAGTTGACTTTTAATTAGTGTACCCTCCGTGTATTTATAAAAGACAACAATACACATTGCATTTTTATCTTCCTTTACCATTCTTAAAAAATACTTTTAAGAAATCCTAAAATTTCTAATTATTATTTTTTATCTGAAATCTTGCAGATTGTTCCCCAGGGTTGTACGGAGAAAATTGTAGTCATCCTTGTTTGTATCCAAAATTTGGTGATAAATGTACAAACACATGCAACTGTAACATAAGCTCGTGTAATTTCGCTGTAGGATGTGCAGGTACGAAACCGTCATTTAATTAAATGATTATATATAAACTATAAATTTGAGGGCTGTCCAAAAAGTCCTAGAAAATGTTTATAACGTTGTTAAACTGCAATCAAAACTAGCCAAATTATGTATAGTCAATTTTCTGCATTTTTGATGTTCTTTGAAAATGTGAATTCTAAAATATATATCTTTCATATTATAGATATTGGGAAAATTTATATGAAGGTCAATATGGTATGTCGGCATGCGAGCATACGAACATAATTTGGAATAGTTTACACATATTATTATAAGATTTGCTTTCAATTTTTGGGGGCATTATGTTAAACATTGAACACAAATTTAAATCATTTAAACCAGTATAAAAATCTTAATAAGATGTTTAATTTTCATACAAATGACATCAGAAGAAGACAATTAATGTCCTGATTTTCAAAGTATCGTCGGATTCGAGTTTGACGCAAATGACGTCGGTAAAGGCGTAACCGGCGCACAGGGACGTATTTTTTTTTTTTTAAATCTATGTTTATCTGCATCAGAGACCGATCAAAAAGTACAGATGTGACATTACATACGTACTACATTCTGATAGAAAAATTCTTTCTAAATGATGTAAGATTCAATGAGAGTTTTCCTCTATACCGAAAATAGGTACTGCAAGCAAGAAGTAGAGAGCTGTTAGTTAAACTTAAACAGTGGACAACTTTCTGGGCCACAAACGACACCAAACAATGTGCATTATCTTCTGCCTACAGTGTAAGGTGATCTTTTTAATAAATTTTGAGTGGAATTTTAATCTGCCAGAAGACGGAAAATTGTGAATTTGAAATAAGTCCCAAAGTCAAGAGTGGATTTTCACTTTTAAAGATTGGATGTGAACAGGCCCGTGTAAAGCAGCAAAGGAGATAATGACCTTATAAATAACGGCCCTGTTGGGATCCGGGTTAAAAAAGGTCCTCAGTACCCCCTTGCTTGTTGTAAAAGGCGACTAAATGGGGCGGTTCTTCGGATGAGACCGTATAAACCGAGGCCCCGTGGCACAGCAGGTGTGGTACGATAAAGATCCCTCCCTGGTGAAAGGCCTTTAATGCCGAGCATAGGCCTAAATTTGCAGCCCTTCACCGGTAATGGTGATGTCTCCATATCAATGAAATATTCTGGAGAGGGACGTTAAAAAGTATACAATCAATCAATATAAATAACGTAAATTACCCTTGCTTTTTGGCGCTGATGTACAGATACATGCCTTCTTTACTTTTTTTCATATTTTTCTTTTTAAGTGTGATATCTTCATGAAACTTGAAGTGCATGATTATAAAATGTTACTTTTTGCCCTTACAAGAAAAGATATTTAATTAAGCAAAGAGAAACTAAACAGTTTTTGTTGTCTACTACTTTTTGGACATTGCTAATCCTCGTATATATAAGAATGGGCGTTTCTTGTTTACACGTTATCAAACAACTTTGTTTTGATATTTGTTGTATCAATATATACTGAAAGGAAAATGAAACGCAGGGTAAACTTTTGAGATGAATTGTGAATAACATGACCTCAGGTAAGGGGTACTGGTGTTAGGGCGGGGCTCTTTTAACTATATTGTGAAAATGCATTAATTCCTTTAAATATTCTCCTCTGCTCTTTCGTATTAAATAAACTAAGTTTATAGTTATTATGAATAAGATTTCCACTTCCACAATTTTGAACTAGATGGCTCCTTCTTCATGGGTTCTGGTGTTAGGGCGGCACTTCAATGAATAAACTGTCGGCAGAGCGCTCGCTCCGTGATTGGGAGGTCGTGAGTTCGTATCTCAGCCGTAACTGTAACGTAAAATGGGTAGCAACTGTTTATTCCCCATGCACTCGGCACTTTGAAGTGAAAGTTGTGGGTCCTTCGGATGAAACCTTAAAAACCGAGGCCCCTTGTCAGAGCCAGGCGTTGGCACGAAAAAGATTTCTCACTGCTCAATAGCCATGAGTGCCGGGTGTAGGTCAAAATTTGAAGCCCTTCACCGGCATACGGTGACGTCTCTATGTGAGTAAAAATTTCTCGAGAGGGACGTTAAACAATGTACAATCAATCAATCATTACATAAACAAGTATAATGAGAATGCAAGAAAATCTTTTTCTTTGCTCCTGAGTGTTATGCGATTGATCTAAGTAATTATCTATGATTAAGAAAGGTGTCTCTTCCAAAATGATTAATTTCAGGGGCCTCAGGTCAGAGGTACTGGGGTTGAGGGGTTACATATTCTGAAAATAAATGAATTCTTTAAAATCTGCTCTATGTAATTTATCAACCATATATATTGAGCGAAATGTCTTTTTGAAAATTTTGAAACATGTTGATCAAGGGTCAGTTATTCCAGTGGGGTGGGGTGCACAACTGGTTATAAAGTGGAAATGCATTTTCCTATTGCTATCTGATCCACCTCTGGGTATTACATGTAAATATCCAACGTAAGCAAGCTTAGTGTAAAGCTATAATAAGCAATGATACCTTGTTCAAAATTTGGAATTTCATGGCCTGTGGTTTGAAGCACGTTAGAAATTCAAATGTTGGTGAGGTGTTGCATGATACCCGGATGGCCTATTAGGCCTCTTGTTACAACAAAATATCTCAAACTCGATATTATAACGCAACAGACACGGTAACGTATATATATCTTGTTGTATTTCGTGGTCACTGAAAGTAAAGCGAGAGGTCATTGATGTGCTATTAAATTTGTGTCTGATGTGTTCATGTGAGTACAAATTTAAATAGAAATGATGGATTTATGTTTTGATATTAGTATTCATTTAATTAGTTTTAGAAATCACTGAGGAGGAGGACATCACTGAGGAGGAGGAGGAAGAGGAAGTGACGGTCTTAAGACTCAGCAACGGTTATCTACGCATGTCTGTAATCGTATCTTCTATTCTGGTGGCAGTGTTGTTGATTGTGTACTTGATAATCTTACTGCATGAAAAAAGAAACGACAGTCAGAATGACAATGAAGACACTGAATATGAAAATTGCCGTTTCTAAATTCAGATACAAGAAAATGCACCTTGAGAAAAAATTAGGAAACTTTTTTTTTTATTTTTATTCTAGAACCACGTAGTATAATTTAACCTGATGTACACATGTAATTTTATATCATTAAAACAAAGAATATTAAGCATTTTTTTTTAATTTCTGCAATTGGATATTCTGTGTTTCAAACATTCGTTGTGCATAATCTGAAACCTTTCTGTGTTTATCCATTTTTCTGCATATATATATTAATGAAACTACACCTGCCATAGAATCATTAATTCAGAAATAATCTAACTGAGGAATTGAATGTATAATAAACATGCATGATACAAAGTTGCTCAAAGTTATTTTTTCCAGTCCAGGTCATTACGAAGTAATAATAATAATTTCACAAAATCTTTGTGTAAAATTGTCGTAACTATGCAACGCAGCCTGCACTCATGCTTATATAAAAAGAAAACTTATAGTGCAAGGAAGTGGTCAAAAAATGCAATAGTATATGTAAAACATATTTCAATAAACGATAAAAGACAATCTCAAATGGGAAAAGGTCTTCTTCTCTAATCACATTGTCACAAAATTTTCTATTACGAAAAAAAAAAATAAATAAAATAAAAAAACGTCATTTAGAAAAAATATTTTGCCCACCAGAATATTAACAAAAATTATATATATATATATATATATATATATATATATATATATATATATATATATATATATATATATATATATATATATATATATATATATATATATATTATTCTCTTTTTTACATTCTGTTGTATGTGCTGTTTTTTTTTTTTTTACACCTGTTTATAGTAAACTCTTTTGGTGAATAAAGATCATATGTCTGCAAAATTTATCTTTTAATTTTAGGTATTTGTCCACTATTTACAATCAAATTCAATATACTTTTGGCACCACTTCACCATTAGATTCTTAAAATACATGAACAAACTGAAGACAATTGCCTTGTTCGGCTGCTTACTGTGTTTTCTGTCACCTACTTATATAATACCTACATATACCTGTAGATGTGAAATAAAAAAAAGAGCAACATTGATCATGTTAATGGATTTTAACGACCTTAAAGATGATTTAACACTCACCCGAGGTGTCATTATATATCGCTAAGGAGTTCAAATATGAACTTTGCTTTTGAAACTCAGAGAAATTGAATATGTAGTGCCAATGCTTGTAAAAAAAGGAGCTTTGACTTTGAGAGTCTCTTTTAAAAATCTTTGACTTCCATTTATAATGCCAGATGTTTGCCAAAGAAATGTACACTAGATGTCTTTATACCTTAGATTTGACCCGACTTTATACTTTTTTCTTGGTGCAGTACACTTATATTTTCTACCGTTCAGATATTTACTGCATTCCCATTCATATCATTAGTTTCCATCGAATTCATATTTATCCTAAATTTGTTTAGTAGTTTTATTGCAAGAAATTGAAATTTAATTTATGCCTTTCCGATTGAAATATGAATATATATATATATATATAGTACATAATATATCTATTTGGTAATAAACTACGTAGTACTATTCGTAAATCATTCAATCAGCAAAATTTTCATAAAAGTAGGTTAAAACTGATTTTAAACAGGTCAATCCAAGCTATGCTTCTAAAGTCATTTTCTTTCTAATCCTTGAAATACTATTTCATAAAATACTTGTGCTACTTGGATGTTGATGTTAATTTTGTCTTTAGTGTTGCTGATTTATATAAACAATTATATTAATTTTATATAGGGAATTTAATGATTCTTCCCCGTACTGTAAATTATCTTAACTTTCGAACTTATCTTAGAACTTTGGAATTGAAATTAATCTAGATTTCATTGAAACAAGTGCATTAATAAACTTAACACATATCAATGATTTACTTTTATTAGTGTCTTTATCTACACCTTTACATCAATGAACAATATACAATATGTTTTTGTATGTGATGAAATCGTTACGAAAAATAATGTACGACGGTTGTCCCAAAATGTCACAGTAAATGTTAATAACGTTTTAAATATGGAACCAATACCAACCAAATATTGAATAGACATAATGAATTAATTGTTCTTTAAAATTATGAATTATAAAATATATATCTTTCATGTTAAAAATATTGAAACGATTTTTAAAGGCCGGTATGGTCTGTCGGCGCACGAACAAAATTCGACATAATTTACTCACTAGAACATTTTTCTTTTATTTCTTTAATGCTATGTAAAAAAATGATCTTATACTGAAATTGGTGAAACTAGAATCAAAGGTTAAGGACATATGATACAAACAATTTTTTTTCTTTGAAAAAGATTAAATATCATGTCACAAGTTTAGAAAAGTAGATATTTTTTAGAATATTTTCTCCTGAGAATTGGAAAATGAAATAGACTGGAAAAATATTAGTAATATTTCAATAATAAAAAAACAAATATAGACAAATCACATTTAGTAAAGGTCTACAGGTGAAATAAAAATTCAGAATATGTTACCTTGGTGCTAAAAGTATAGTATAAACTTTTGAAAAAATATACCAGGTGAATTTTAAGAGGAGGAACAAAATGACAAAAAAATAGCAATATCATATAGACTGATTTTTACATTTTAGCTTTTCCTAATAAAATTCACCTGGCTAGGTATATTTTTCTAAAGTTTATATTACACTTTTAGCACCAAGGTAACATATTCTGAAATTTGTTTTAACCTGTAAAACTTTACTGAATGTGATTTGTCAATATTTTTTTTTTTCATTGAAATATTACAAATATTTTCCAAGTATTTTTCATATTCCATTTCTTAGGAGAACACAATCTAAGAACCATCCACTTTTCTAAGCTAGTGACATAATATTTAATCTTTTTCAAAGAAAAAAAAAATGTTTGTATCATCTGTCCTTGACTCCATCCACAGGAAATACATCTTAAAATAATCCGTAAAAACCAATACAATGTTTGTATTTTTTTTATTAGCATAGGTTTTTGTTTAATGTTAATTCTAATATTATTGTTTATGCATGTATATGGTCTCTGCCAAGTTAGGCCAAAGCAACTTCACTAACATTAGCTGTTTGTCACGTGAAACATTTTAAATTAGAAAAGTAAATGAACGACTACAAAGATTGTAAATGTTTAACGATATACGAATTTTTATATGCAATTAAATGTATTTTGTATAGGACAAATTTCTTTAACACGAAAAGTGATAGGAGCAACTTCTTTATGTCCTGGAATGATATAAAATTTAGTTATCTTTTGATAAACTTCGTATATTAAAATAATACTCATTGAAATAATATCTTTTGATAAACTTCGTATATTAAGACAATACTCATACATGTAAAATGATGTAAAATAATGTAAAATTTCAGAAAAAGGCAACAGCGCACAACTTGCTATCATCACATTTTAATTTAGTAGGAACAATAACTACAAGTGTATAAAAAATTCATAATTTATTGTTTATAATTAACGGATATAGCTAGACTTCTGAAATTTTCGAGGAAAGGGGTGTGTGCCTGTTATTATTGTACATTTACGTATAAATGTGCATTGCTGCGGTTTAATATGAGACCTAATTGCTTTCAATTGAATAGGACTTGATAATATTGAATAAAACATTAAAATTATCGCTAGATTCTTGTCAAATCACGCTTATTTAATTTTTAATTTCATATTTACAAGCTTCAATAATAGCTTGATCTGCATCTCAAATACAGAGAAACTGCGTCTCAATCAAGTTTATGACGTCATCTAAGTCAGTACAGCGAGATCAAGGTGGTTTTAATTCTACATTAAAATAGTGTTACAATGACAAGATAAGTTACACATAGATTTATATTTACAATATTTATGAGAAATGATCTCATGTAAGAAAGCATTTATTCTCAGAGATTCATTTGCACAGTTTTACCTTGACGTCATTATTGATTTCTTGAAGTTTTGCATAAGCAGAGGTACCCGAGGGAGTCATTAACCTAGCCGCTGGGTTAAAAAAACACATTTACATACATAAATATGACGAGAAACATACGATTAGTCTCCTAATTTTCAAAGTGTTGTTGGAATCTAGATTAATGAAAATGTCAAAGGCGTAACCGTCGCACGGATATGTACATTAGAGAAGGGAAAAGAGTACAGAAATGACATTGCACATTGAATTCTAAAAGAAAAAATGTTTTTAAATGGTATGAGATTCATTTTTTCCCTCCGTACCGAAAATATGTAAGGCATGTAAGAAGTAGGGAATTGCTTGTTAAACACAGACAGAGGAACAGAGGTCCATGACGGACCACGAACAACGTCAATGAACGTGTATTCTTTGCTTCCTACAATATAAGGTGATCTTTCAAGTAAATTCTGAATCTGCTAAAAATGGACAGTATTGAATTTAAATAAGTTTCATAGTCAAGAGTTGTTTTTCACTTTGAAAAAATATTATACACAAATGAACTCAATATAGGTCAATATCCATTATGATGACCCGGGAGGACAGATGCTGACCTAAGATACATTGAGAATATTAACCTAGGGCGCTAGTCCGAGATCGATATTCTCCATGTTCCTGACCGTGCATTGAGTTCATATTTATTATACTATATAATTCCCCATATTTATGAGTACAATGTATATCTTCCTAATGTTTATAGATATAGCTGCATTATAGCTTTATGATTCTCGTTTGCAGTGTCGCGTCAATAAAAGTGACTACTCCTTCGCCAAGCGCTCGGCACTAGAAGTGAAAGTCACGAGTCTTTCGGATATGACATTAAGTTGTAGGTCCCGTGTCACGGTAGGCGCTAGCGATAAAGAGCCCTCACTGCTCAATGGCCCTAAGTACCGAGTATAGGTCTAAATTTAAAGCCTTCACCGGCATACGCCTTTTTATTTTTTCATAATTTTCTTATTAAATGTGATATCATTCTGAAACCGGAAAAGTATGATAAAAAAATGTTACTCCTTTCTATAACATGAAAACAAATTTAATTTAGCAAAAACAAACTAAACTTTTTTCCACGTCTCCGACTTTTTGGGACAACTCTAG